TTCTGTAAATAAAAAATCCATTCCGGGACATTACTCCGGATTCTTCCAAATATATCACGTGTGTGCAATGCTTTTCGAAAAGAATTTTCCAATTGAAGATCTTTTACCAAAAAAAGAAGTGATCTGCGTTACACGAATTTGAAAAATCGCAAAAAAAAATAGTTTATAGGTTGTTTATTTCGAAAAAAAGAAAAAAATAGTCATTAATTTTATTCGAAATAAGAAATCAGATCATTAATTCAGAATCACTCTAATATTTAAAAGACATTAAATTGTAGAAACATGAATAATTATTTAAACCGTGGATTGGTTATAAATGCTCAAGGAATACAACTTTCGGATTTTTTATCTTATAACTTTAAACAACAACATAAACATGACTCCGTAGAAAAAACGTCTTTTTGTGCCAAATTATTCAATTCTACAACCAAAAAAGAATCTTTCTTGTTAGAAAGTCCAATTGAGATTTCTTATGACGATTTAGAGTATGCTAGTCAGATATTTGATACCGATGAGGCCGCGAATTCTGCAAGGTCCTTTCTTGTTAATGAGTCTTCTGTAAATGATGTTATTCTAGTAATTGAATATTCGAAAGCTGAATTAACTATTGAAAAAGAAACAATAAAGCCATCTGATGAATTGACTGATAAAATAAAAGAAGCTCTGAAACATCATGATCCATATTATAGATTAATGTATATATTTAATATTTATGGCTATTTTTTGCCAAAAAAAATAATTCTTGGGCACAAAATGTATAGAATGACTCATTTAACCAAAGATAAAAGATTGAATGAAACAAAGATAAAAATAAATGAAACAAAATGGACTACTCTTGATGATTTTTCAGATAGTAAACTTGGAGATATTTTGAGTCAATGGGAAAAATGTATTGGTTTACATAATTTTGATTTATCTCACTTTGTATCAATTGATGACAAAATCATTAGGAAAGATAAACTCAAAGAGTGGATTAAATTTTGTTTAGAAAGTGATCTTGACTCATTACAAGTAATTAGCTGTAAAGAATTATATTCATTGTATAAAATTTTTGACTCAACTCTTCGCCATGAAGTTAAATCTGTTCTCGAAATTAAAGAAAAGGTGCTAATGACTGGAATAGTGCCAATTAAAGATCCACCATATTTGTATAGTATAAATTTTCCTGTATGTTTCAAATCCAATGATTATCAGGTGTTGGGAAAATTTATTGCACATGATGGGGAATCAATTAATGAGGTTGATGGTTTAATTATCAAATTCGACTTTATGGACATACATGGATTCAAAATTTTTATAAAAAATCAGTAAGTTTTTACTTACATAAAACCATTAATCTTATCTCAATTTAAATTAAAATCATGCACATTTATCTAGTTCTAGTGAGCTCACATTTAAAGACCAAAAAATTGTTTGGATTTTAATAGGTATACCTGCTAAAATTGGATATTTTAGTAAAGATACGCGAAAAATAAGCATATTTGGTTCAGATAAGGAGCTATTTAAATTGAATTTAAACAATGATATTATATTGAAATTTTCAGAAAATTTACCATCAAATTCAGTTATTTTTATCTCATTTAAATGCCCACCTTCAAATAACGAACAAAATTTTATAACCAAAATACAAAATCATAAAGATAATGAATTTTCAATCAATATAAGTTATCCAAGTTATGAATTTCCTTTTGATGAAAATAATGTAAAGAATATAAATATATTAGAATATTCGATTCAATGGGTTATTATTCAAAATTTTGCTAAAACTAATTCTTCTGAAACAGTGTTTTATTTGGACAAGATAAGCTTGAAGAACAATAACGATGATCTGCAAGATATTTTAGATACAATAATCAAGGAACTACATGATATATATAATAACGAAATTGCGAAAGGAAATTCTGCATGGTCAATTCTTCATTCAATAGATCATTATATGGCAAAAAAGAAAAAACCCTCAGAAGAAATAATTAATTTATGTATAAATAATCAAGAAAATCCGATTATTCAAACCAATCCTATAATTCAAAATATTCTTGCATATTGCTATTGGTATGGAAAATGGATTGAAAAGAATGAAAGTAAAGCATTTTTTCATTATAAAAAATCTGCTGAGATGGGAAATGATATCGGTGTTGTTAATCTCGGCGATTGTTATAAAAATGGCGTCAATGTTGAAAAAAACCATAATGAAGCATTTATTTATTACAAAAGATCTGCGGAGATGAACGATCCTTATGGGATCAATAGCCTTGGCTATTGTTATGAAGATGGAATTGGAGTAGAAAAAGACACTAATAAAGCGTTCGTTTACTATCAAAAATCTGCCGAAATAGGTCATGCCAATGGAATATATAACGTTGGACGTTGTTTTCAAAATGGAATAGGAGTTGAAAAAGACGAACGTCAGGCATTTGAACTTTACCAAAAATCTGCTGAAATGGGCAATACTACTGCGATAAATAAAGTTGGTTATTGCTATTTAAATGGAATAGGAGTTGAAAAAGATGAATATAAGGCATTCAAATATTACCAGACATCCGCAGATATGGGTTATGTTGTTGGAATGAATGAGGTTGGATATTGTTATCAAAACGGAATAGGAGTTAAAAAAGATGAACACAAGGCATTCGAATATTACCAGAGATCTGCTGATATGAGTTATGCTATTGGAATGAATGAGGTTGGATATTGTTATCAAA